TAGTTCTTTCTGAAGACACTGACAAAATGCAATCTTCTGATCACCTTGAGAAAAAATGCAAGTATGTTGTTGGGATATTCAGAAAAATATCCCAAAAATTATCCTGCTAAGTCTAATGCTATCCTTGAACGTGAAATGGTGTCATTTATTTTACGTGTCATTTTCCTGTTGGTCAATATTCACGGTAGTCCCAACTGTATAAATATGCATTTGTCTGTAACGTATCATTCCTATTCTTCTCCTGGCCCCATAAACGATTTCATCTACGGTTCGTGTTCTGATATATTGGAGATTGGGGTCGTACTGGGATATCTGAAGTTGGTCAGTCGGTAGAAATTAGAGTAGCCACCCCGCGGTCCACAACGCATGTCTGGGATGCTGTTCTTTCCGTCCAAATGTAAAATATTACTTCAGGATTGGCTTCTGTCATCGCCTAAATTAGTGATAAGGAGTCAAGTGGTTGAACGCACCGATCGCTCCATTTATTTTGGGAGTTTCATCAGCACTAATGGTTTGGCGTCTGAAGAAATCTCAGCTTGGATTCAGGAGGCTTGATTGGTTTTCGCGAACTTGCGTAGGCAAAGCGCAAGTTTAGTACTCAGCAGTTAGCTCCGTTTTACGTTGTGGATGTGAAACATGTCTATTAAGAGTAGAGGATATTCGTACGTTACTGGTATCCGATCATAAGTGCCTACGATGCATTGTTAGTGTATTTTGAGACCACCGAGTAGGCAATGTATGAGTTAGGAACAGAGTGCTGAGTAAAGATGGAGAGTCAGTCTTTGAGCTAGTAAATATTTATGAACTTCCCGTAGAAAACTAACTCGCTAAAAAAACACTGACCAGAAAAAATTATTGAAACCATTTAAACTCTGCCCTGAGAGTTGTAAGGCCTTCATTTATGACGTCTCGTTATGAAGGCTGAGTCCTTTCAGTAGTCACGAGGCTGGTGCCTCTTCCGACAAGCTCAACCATGAATTTAGGTACATGGAATGTTCGTACAACGTGCGAGACCGGGAGAGTTATCCAAGTTGCTGCAGAAATGAAGATACAACCTGGAGGTGTTTGGAACCAGTGAAACACATTGGATGCAGGTTGAACAACAAAGACTAGCTTCAGGAGAGATGCTGTTATACTCCGGCCATGATAAAGAAAGTGCTCCATATGTACAAGGAGTTGCACTGGTGCTATCCATACAAGCACAAAAAGCACTTATAGGGTGGGAATCTCATGGACCCAGGATCATCAAAGCCTTCTTCGAAACAGAGAAAGAGGGCATTGCAATGAACGTCATCCAATGCTATGCGCCTATCAACGACTACAATGAAGACGTTAAAGATCAATTCTACGATAGGCTGCAGTCAATCCTCGGGAAATGCCCAACAAAGGACTTGACCATTCTAATAAGAGACCTAACTGCGAAGTTGGGAATGGACAACACCGGATATGAAGATATCATAGGACGACATTGACTGGGAGAAAAGAAAGAAAATAGTGAGAGATTTGCAAACCTATGTGCCTTCAACAAACTGGTCATAGGCGGCACCATATTCCCACATAAAAGCATACACAAAGCCACATGGATTTCACCGTGTCACTATACAAAACCAAACCGACCATACCTGTATCAACAAAAAGTTCAGGAAGACGTGAGAACCAAGGGAGGGGCTGATATAAACTCACTTGCTGGTCGCCAAGATGAAACGGAAACTCAAGAAGCACTGAACAACGGGGCGGACGTCACAAAAGTTTAATATGGGTTTTCTTTGAGATGCTGACAGACTCAACAAATTCAAGATAGCCCTCAGCAATAGGATCCATGCCTTTCACGATCCATTCAGTCGAGAGGGAACTACCATGGAGAACAATTAGGAAGGGATCAAGGAGGTAATCACTTCAACATGTTATGAGGTTCTGGGCCGCAAGAAGCACCATCACAGGAAATGGGCCACTGTTGATATACTGGATTCAAGAAAGAAGGCAGCATTCAATACCAGCCGAAGAGCAGAAAAAGCCAAGGCACAAGCTGAATGCACAGAAGTAAACAAGCAAGTGAAGAGGAGCATCAGAACCGACAAACGTAAACATGTGGAAGATTTAGCAATGATGGCGACAAAGTCTGCAAAAGTAGGAAACAATTGTATGACACAACAAAGAAACTCGCTGAAAATTATCGTAAACCAGGACGATCAGTGAAAAGCAGGGAAGGCAAAGTAATCACCAGCAGTGAAAAACAGCGAAACAGGTTGGTAGAACTCTTAAAAGAGCTTTTGAATCGATCAGCCCCATTGGACCCACCCAACATCGAAGTAGCACCCACGGACCTCCCAATAAATGTTGGCCCACCAACAATTAAAGAGATTAGCATGACCATCATACAAATCAAGAGCAGCAAAGCAGCGGGACCAAACATTTCAGCAGAGGCACTGAAAGCAGATGTAGCAGTAACTGCAAAGATACTCCACATTCTGTTCAATAAGATTTGGGATGAAGAACAATTACCAACAGACTGGAAAGGACTTCTGGTCAAAATACCAAAGAAAAGCGATCTCAGCAACTGTGATAACTGCATTGGCATCACTCTTCTCTCAATACCAGGAAAAGTCCTCAACAGGGTATTGTTAGACAGAATGAAGGACTCTGTAGACGTTCAACTTCGAGACCAACAGGCTGGATTCCGTAAGGATCGACTATGTACAGACCAAATCGCAACGCTACGGATCATTGTGGAACAATCAATTGAATGGAATTCATCACTCCACATCAACTTCATTGACGATGAGAAAGCATTTGATGGCATGGATAGGACAACATTATGAAAGCTTCTTCGACACTACGGTGTACCTGAGAAGATAGTCAATACCATACGGAATTTCTATGATGAATTAAACTGCAAAATCGTTCATGGAGGACAGTTGACAGACTCTTTCGAGTTGAAGATCGGCGTCAGCCAAGGTTGCTTACTCTCACCCATTCTCTTTCAATTGGTGATCGACTGGATCATGAAGACGTCAACATCTGAGGGGAAGCATGGGATACAGTGGACAGCTGGATGGATGATCTAGACTTCATAGATGATCTGGCCCTTCTATCGCAATCGCAACAACAAATGCAGGAGAAAACGACCAGTGTAGCAGCAGCAGTAGGTCTCAATATACACAAAAGGAAAAGCAAGGTTCTCCCATACAATACAGCATGCACCAATCGAATCACAATTGACGAAGATTTGGAAGATGTAAAAGCCTTTACAAATCTGGGCAGCATCATTGATGAACACAGTGGATCTGATGTAGATGTGAATGCGCGGATCGGCAAAGCAAGAGCAGCATATTTACAACTGAAGAACATCTGGAACTCAAAACAATTGCCAACCAACACCAAGGTCAGAATTTTCAATACAAAAGGCAGTTCTGCTGTATGGGGCGGAAAGCTGGAAAACTACGAAAGCCATCATTCAGAAGATACAAGTGTTTATTAATAGCTGTCTACGCAAAATACTTCGGATCCATTGGCCAAACAATACCAGCAACAATCTATTTTAGGAGAGAACGAACTAGATCCTAGTGTAGGAAGAAGCACTGGAAGTGGATAGGACAAACACTGAGGAAAGCACCCAACTGCGTCACAAGACAAGTCTTCACATGGAATCCTCAACGCCAAAGGAAAAGAGGAAGACCAAAGAACACATTACGCCGAGAAATGGAGACAGACATGAGAAGAAAGAACAAAAATTGGATAGCACTAGAAACGAAGGCATAGAACAGAGTGGGCTGGAGAATGCTGGACGGCGGCCTATGCTCGATTGGGAGTAACAGGCGTAAGTATGTTCCTTGAATCTTGCACGGTTTGCGAATGAGATTCATTTTTGTGATAATGCTTCTTGTCGCTCAGCATACCTTGATAATTTCAAATTAGTGCCTCTCTGAAACCTTTCCAGTCGTTCTCCGTGGAAAACTCTTCTTCTTCCAGTAGATATTGCAGGGCTTGGGACCTGTTTCTGTGAGCCATAGTGAACTGATTATGTCGAAGGCAGTCTCTGTTGAACCTCTTTAATGCTGTTTCCAAAGATTATTTAGATTCAGATTCGTAAGCTACGTCAGATGCTCTCCTGGTCTTCACATCTCCCATTGACATTCTGAATTATTTGGTATAATCTATCTGATTCCCTGTGGTGTGAATCAGTGACACAAATGCAGGTTTCTGTGTACGTTTGTAATGGGATATTTCCCAGCAGTCAGGAGAACGACGGTGATAGGCAACATTCAACAAACCTGCTGAACTCATACCATATGAATGTACATACACACAGGTTCTACGTCGTAACTGATGAACTGAACAAATTAATTCAGTCACCTCATGGAGAACAGTTCTTAGTTCTCATAAAAACGTATAATACTGAATGAAGCTAACAGCATTATTACTGTCCTGCGGTTTAACAATAAACTAGTCATTTTAAATCACGAGCTGACAACAATTGAGAACCTGGGGTCACTGGACAGCCGCTTTATCCTAGTATAGGACTCCTAAGCAGTGTGCACCCACAACCCCACATCTGGGGATGATACCTACGACCTCCGATCCCGCGCGCGAACGCTTCGTTTTGAGAATACTGGGCCAACATCTAAGTGTTAGCATCATGATCTCCCAAACCCTTATCCACTGCATGTAGTGGACAACTATCTCACACCCGATATGGTTGGACTCGACTATTTCTCGCCCAAACCCCAGAAATTGCGCTTTAAAGCTAGTCACTAGTAAGCACATGATTATTATCAGTATAGGGTTTAGTCTTCCCAATATCTAAAGATTCTCTTCTTGACTACCGATATTTCCCATAAAGCAACGAATTTTTCATACAAAAATCGAGTGTATATTATATAAGAATAACACTGTCTATATACATTACGATGAGGGAACAAACAATCCCCTAAAGGATACTGTTTGACACTAAGATTAGAATTTACATAGAAAAAAAGGGTAATTTATTATTGTTAATGAAACTATTTAATTTTACGGAGAAATTTTCCAGAATTTTCACCTAGAACACGTGCTTGATTACTGATATTCGATTGGTTTTGTTCTTTTTTTCCTTCATAATATATACCAAGTCGATGTAACAATCGAATTGATAAATTTGGAATAACTGGTTGTAGAAGTAATGCACATATTCTTAATGATTCAGATACTACCGATAATATAAATTGCTTTCTTAATAATTCTTTTTCGGTCCATGGACTGTGACGAGTAATAAACGTATTAGTTTGTCGAATAATACGTAAAACTTCCTCTATAGCCCTATGAGGTTGAGCTTCATACCACCAAAATTTGTCAAAATGATGAGAAATATTATCTAGACTGAAATATAAATGAAACAAAAATTATTTAGTTTGTTATTATTCCATAAAATTCATTTGTTTCATAATGGAAAAATGTTCTATTCAACAACAATAAATTGTGAATCTACATTTTATGATTACTGTCATTTATTGGGTGATTTTCAAACACGATGGAGTGTTGGAATTTACGCTGATACTAAAGGAGCTGGAAAAAAGACCTGATTGGTTAGTTGACAATACTTTTACATAGATCGATGTATTTCTTTGGTCCTCCTTCACAAAACAAATCAAAGAAATCTAGCCTGGCTTGCTGTACGCATTATGGGAATAGGAGGGCAGCACGGTTACTCATATGAAATAGGCGCATCTAACTCTGTCGTATTTAAACGAGTAGTTTAGCTCATACCAAAAATAACGCTTAAAATAGTGGTACATATCTTTCCAAATTTCCTGGTATCAACAAGATCCCGACTTGAGTTTACAAGCTTTTTAGTGATTGATCAAAAACATTTGTACCGACAGTAACTAATCACAATTTATAATTGTGGCTTCTTCATGGGATAACGTTAAAAAAAATCTTCTTTAAGATCAATAAAGGTATGATACAGGAACGCGTTCAAAAAAACCGACAAATTTTTGGTCAGTTGCTAGTGAATTAGAAAAAAACTTTTATAATTGAATAGTCTATAAAAAAAGAACAGTATTATTGCAAACGGTGAACAGATTTTACATAATTAATAAATCTATTGAAGTCTTCTATATATTATTCTGCCTGTCAATCGATAGACCAACGACAATATAAAGTCGTCCATATGGGTATAGATTATCCATCTTTTCGAATCTTTATAAGGTTAAATGGATTTTCAGAAGTTCTCTACATTATTTCTGATTACAGCTAAGAATTTATGATTACATGTTTCGGCCAGCATTTAGAGGCAGGCTTGATCTATGTGTTATATACGATCTACAAGGGGAAAAGTGAGCATTGAACACTATTGCTTTGAGAAAAGAAAGTAACCTTTCGTTACCATTAAACTTTCTCATGACTATACAAAGGAATTCCTACTAATCGTTCTACGTGATATTTAACCTAGAAATCGTTTCTATTGATTTTTGTTGACTCGTCCTCATATAATATAGTCTTATTAAATTTACTTATTAAACGATTATTAGCGGTCACTGACTTTCGAATTTTGCGCAATAGAACCTAAAAATCGTTTTCTTAAAACTGATTCATTCAACTGTATAAAGTATAGATGTAACAGAAGAGAATGAAACTGTAATACATTTTATTGATAAGAAAAGAAACTACATAAACTAACTTGTCAAAAAATTCCATATCCGAATTATCATCGTGAAACATATCATCAACCTGTTTACGATTAATCTGAATTATAGACTGTTCAGGGTTAAGAGATTCAGATGTGATACTACAAAAAAGTGAAGATATAAAAAAACCCATTGAATAAATGAAAGAATTAATGGCATCTCTGTTGAAATATATTCTACGAGATAATTAAATAGAAACTAGGATTGTACATATCTCTACATTGTGAAGGCAAAAAGTGCGGTACAAGGTTTCCAATCACTTAGCGGCTGGGTGGTTGGATGAGTTCCTTGCACCAACCGAATACTGTGGTGCATCACATAATATCTGATAGGGATCACACACATGTATCGTATGCATCACCCAGATTTATTTGACACAAGGATAAACTGGGACATAAAGTTTTAGAACTTCACAATATAAGTTATTTTACGCCCTTCGTACATAGGCGCATTCATTCAAACTATTCAGTCATGGGGATAATGATAAGTTAGGGAAGAAAACTAAAACCTTGTCAGCGAATGACAATTCCGTAAAAAGAAATTTAAATCAAAAAAATACACAGCCGGAAATAATCAGTGTACTATTTGGTATCCTAGTGCATTGGTATACCATTTTCCCCCGTTCAGTATCACCATAACAGAAATTTATGTAGATAAGTAAATGAGTTGAATAATGGTATCAATAGTACTTAGAGCTAAGCACATACGAAATACAATTCAACAGGAATAAACGAATGGGTTTGTCACTGTTGTCAACTTTCAGCTTTGTTACCTAAGGTCTTGAATCATAGATTAAAACCACTTCATAAAAATCTGGACCAAGACTTCACTTCCCAAAAGACGAGGCACATCAACAGTCAACAACTTCACGGACTCTCATTGAGATCACGAACCGATCTAGGTTAGACAACCATTCATAACCTGAAAGCACTAGACTAACAAAGTAGTGCCTTGGTGTCCGCCATCTGTCTTTTTCCTAAATTATCCATAGTATAGTAGCCAACAGAGCAAGTCGGAGATGTTATGTTCAGAAATAGCTTACGCTTATTACGACCGAACGAGGGTTCCTTTTTGTACGAAACGGGATCTACGCAAAGTTGATGGATCGGACGACGGTCATGCACTACAACATTGACGCTAATAATTCGCAAAAGAATAAGAGAGCGAGTGAGCAAATGGTAATTTTTACAGAGCTTTAATATTCCCAACGAAATCCAAATTGAAATAGCAATAAAAATGGACTTAATACACATAAATAAAAAAAATTAACTTCTCTGAGGTCTTCCTATCAGGTATATATACAAGTAACATGTTATGTGCACTAAACAAAATAAACATAGTTATTATAAATATGTGAAGGTTAGCTGTTAGCTTTTAGTTCAAATCATGGATGCCCTCTTTAGCTTAACAACTATTGAAAATGAAGAGGGGCATCGAACGTTTGCTGCACCCCAATATAGAATATCCTAATAGTCTGCACCCACAACTTCATACCAGATGGAAACCGAAACCGTGCCTCGAAACGAGTACGCTGTCACTAAATTGGTATACATTCATTAATGGTCAATATTTCCAATTTGGCGATATTGTATGACCACCATTTATTCCCATTTGGTGATAACCTGCCTTATGCCTGGTCGTATAAGAAACTCAGTGGCACTACTCGAAGGTAGTCCTAATAATGACCATATATAATTGGATGGAATAACTATCTAATTTCTTACTAGTGTTTAGGTCAGTTCGTGATATAAACTACAAATGATATTGTTATAACATGTGCTTTATTAATAGATGACGAAATGATACTGCCAATTAGAGAACAGTGATTTATCGACCGGACCAATGACGCGTAAAACCGTACGAGCAGTCTGGAATTCTTATTGGTACGTCTTACTGCCTAGCCCTGCCTGTTAAGTCCAGAACAACAATCTCAGCCTCTGCAATATGAATCATGTATTTCAAACATAGTGGGTTTATATACAAACCAAACAAACCACATCGTACCATAAAATAGGGAACAATATTTGTACAAGATCTAGCCAAAAGTGGTTGTGAATGTCGGAGACTATATTTAACAGACTGGAAGAACTCAAGAACCGTAAATCGTATAATAATAGTTCACAGGTCAAAATAAAGCTTTTAATAGGAGGAACACGAATATGTATAGTTTAGCTACTTAATAATTAAACAATAAAAATATATGTATCGTATTGGTCCATAAATAGTTCTCAAAAGTTATCATTCATAATTCTCATCAGGATATAACAGATATAGAATATAATTTTATGGATTTATTTCTGAATAGGTCATACACTTGATCTATATAGCTGCTGAAATCAAAACCAACCTTACAAGAATGTAAGAATGTTCGTATACGCTGAGTAAAATAAATGTTATATGATTACTAAAACTGGATAATAAAGTTTGAGAATTGTTCACCCAAGACTCAATACGTATAACCACTGAATTTTTCAAGCTACTCAACATGGAGTTATTTGTTGAAATCAATCAATAAATAAATAATGATCACTCACCGAGAAAGCAAATTTCCAATCCAATTAACAAGTTCTGTGTTAATCATTTTACGAGCCATTTCACGACTATAAGTGCCATCAAATGTTAGCAAAGGAAGGCGAAGCAAAACATAACGAAGAAGATCTGATTCAGCAGGTGTTATAACATTGTTGTTTAATTCGTCCGACAATAAAGCAGACTGTTCAACAATCGGATCGATTTGATTACCTCTACTTTTAGACATCTACATTACCAAACACACGCAGAAAATAGATGAAAGACAAATTCTACTTGTAAAATGACGGTGTGAAGTTGTTAATAGTTTGTGCAAATGTTATTATTACAAGAGATAATTGAAAATAAAGTATATGCATACACTTAATTCAAGCATAGTTTTGTTTCGGAATAAACACATTTATAAGTCAAGAAAAAACCAAACAGAAACAAATGAGTGTCGGTCTATCTACTGGACGAAAATGAGCCATTTTTAAAAAGAGATTTGTTCTGAATGATGAAGTTAGCTAAATCAAGGATTCAAAAACAATTAACACTGAAAGATGGTTGTGCTACGTGACATGATGAGTGGACTGAAGTTAGAGATTACTAAACAAAACAACATAGAAATCAATTATACCGTTCGGAGTTGTTACAACACTTTAAAAAAATTAACAGAAATAAAATTAGTAATTATGAAGCTATATTTTACAATGAATGATATGAGTGAAAGTTAGCCATATTCCACCTAAGGTCTAACACCACTCACAAAAGTCGTGAGTGACAGGCCTCAAGCAGCTGTACCTTGGGCACTGCGGTCACGCTCTCAGGTCACTAAGACCACCTCCAATCCAATTTCCTTTTCAGGCACCTCCAGAAGAACCCTTCCACGGTTTGGGCAACCGGGAAGTGATAACCACCCTCATAGCTCTAACAGCACTCAAGATCACTGTATTCATAATCAACATCCCTCTTCAATTCCTATTATTCCTCCTACGTCGACTTTGAACGCTACACTTCCTCTTTTGGCTTCCTTCTCAAATGTCACCATGGCCAACGATTCTAGTGCACAGAACATTATCCCAGGTCTACTGAAACCTCGCTCCAAACTACACATTTGAACCTTCAACGTACGCACCATATGTCAAATCGGTCAGAAGACTTCCTTGGCTAAAACCCTAGAATCTCGTACCATTGATGTATGCTGTGTCTCCAAAACACTCATACAGGATCCTAGTGTGGTCACTCACTTGACTTCACCTCGGCAAAACAGAGAGCCGACGAGATACACTCTCCATGTATCTGGCGACCCGATGGCTAATTCTCGTGGACTGGCAGGTGTACAAGGGCAGAACAAGCACTATTAGAGTGGATCCCCGTTAACAGTCGTCTATGTGCTGTTCGGCTTAACGGCTCCATAAGAACTCGAAAGGGTAGGGACACATATCGTTACTTTTTCGTCGTTTCTGCCTACGCTCCCACTGACTGCAGCTCGCATGAAGTGATGGCTCTCCTATTCCCTTTATTTTCTCTTCATTTCAGTGTTCTGCTGGCAAGCATTCCACTTCTGATTACTGCTACACGCTACTTATATATGCTAGCCTAAGTAGCATACACCACAAATACACCGAAAGATGCAAATGGACGATTGAAGACTAGGTATTATGTAAATAATTTGTAAGTTATCGCAACAAATACACGTTCCTCCGGCTTATGGCTTTCTCACGTTACTATTTCTACCACCCCAATGTTCATCTTGATAACTGCATCTCACTGTGCTAATGCGGTGTGATAACTTGAACCGACGCACATATGTGACAGGTTTTACGTTGCATGTGACTGACTGACTGACATTACATATTATCATTAATAACCCATTTACTAGGTGGACATATTTGGGTACTTGACTTAGAGATACAATTTAGGTATGATGCCTGTTGTGACTTTATGTTCAACTTATCACATGATTTACCCACCAATCAAAATACAACTTATACAATCTTAGCACTGTGCCAAACCAATGACGTTCGACCGGTATGGGCAACCTAGCGTCCTTATTGGTCCTATGTACGCATAGTCCATCCACTTGAATGCAGAACACCAATACCAGCTTCCACTATGCGAACCGAATTGAATCATCTACTTCAGACATACTGGGTTTATATATCAATCAAACAGATCGCAACGCACCATAAAATAGGAAATAACATTTGTACACAATAAAGCCAAAAAGTGGCTGTGAACGTGGTAGGCAGTAGTCAATAAACTGAACATAGCTTAAGAACAGTAAATCGTACAATAATAAATTATAGGTCAAAATAAAGCTTATAACAAGGGGAATATAGATATACATAATCTAGTTACCGAATATTTATACCATGAGAATATGTAAATAATAATAGTCCATTAATAAGTCTCAGACGTTACTCGTAATGTAATCTTCACTAGGATATAACAATGCCTAGTGATACTCTAACCCGTTGTTTAAACTGAAATAGGCAGAGTGAGGTTCGAACCTGAAACTTAGTGGTTGAATATTGAACGCCCTAATCACTGCCAAACAACTGCTACATCTCATGAAATAATATACTTTCCCTACGAAAAAAAGAAAATTACCTTGACATTATCCACAAGTACATGATGGTGACAGATTAGACGTCGCGGCAACGGCAGATTGACAGCCATTAATAAAGCAGGCCAGAGAACTGCATGGAATCTATTGAGAAAGGAAAATTTATGGAGAAGAAAAGAATAGACTGGTTTTATTGGTTAACAGTACTATGATAGGTACTATTAGGTTAGTAATAGAAACGTTTTGTAATGTCTCAAACTCTCTCTCCACAGAGATACGTTGAAGAAACTTCGACGGTAAAAACCACATATACAAGAAAGTAAGAACTCTGGTAACATTTGGTATGTGGTTAGTAGTGGAATACAGGACACGCGTTATTTTTTTACTTGAAAACCATTAGTTAGATGTCCTTGATACACTCGTGTTAATGTTACATATTAAGAACCCAGCACCTTTCTGTTGGGGAGATCCAGAGTATTCCTCGAAAGGAGCCCAGAAGAGGCCCTGAAAATGGTAGGAAACATTTCGTCCAATCAGCATTGAGTAGAAGTCTTTCAGAAACATATAGAAAGTGGAGTCACGGGTTACGTTTCTGATTGGATGACTACCTATCCTGCTGCTATGTTTAGTAGGGTCCCAGAAACCTAAGGCCATCTGAAATGCTATAAATACCCTGAATTTTCTGTACATAAACGAACCTTGAAGTAAAGCGTTTTTTACACATTTAGCGCCTTTTCTCTCGTGTTCAAGTTGCCGTGTAGATCTAGTCTGAGGTTATAGAAGAGCTTAGGAAACCAATTTAAGTGTTCAGTTAGAAGATTTATCACTTTCAATCGAAACATCCCATGAGATATCATCCGCTACTGAGTCCAGATGGCCACAAAATTTAGTTTTCTGAATACCGATAACTGAGTAGGAAATGTCTACGCAGAAATTTATTTTGTTTAAAAGAAAAAACACCTTTCAATGACTAACTAACTAGTAAACATATAAATTTAAATGATTGATATGGTTACCCTGCACTCTCGTACAAAAGATTGTAGAAAATTACCTAGAAATCTGGCACTCTGTTAATACAAGCTTCTTAGGAAGAACAAAAATATATGATAATGGATATACTAATGAAAAGATACCTACCTACACACAAATATGAGTTCAACTTTATATGCGGTTATGCAAAATATACGACAGCCATATTACAAAGGGACATTTAAACACTAACTGGTATGAAGGTGAAAATATGTTACGCTGCTTAGTCTACAATGGTGATTGGAGGGGGGTTCCTAATAATTTCTTTTCTAACTGTCAAGCTTATAGCAACTCACGTGCAATTGAGTTGGTTCACATCTAATTCGGTTAAAATATTAAAGATTCCCATTGTGAACGAACTGAGTCATCCGTACAACAACAACAACTTATCTATGTCATTGTATCTTTATTATTGTTGCGAATGTATGAACATGTGTGCTTGAGCATTGCTTACTGCCTACGCATATATTCACTCTACTAGCCTTACTATTAGTCGCTTAATTGATTCGATGATTCATTCATTTAACTATATATATGTCCATTTTATTCGTGTTCATTGCTCTCTTGCCTATTTGTACTCGCTTACTCGTACTCGTATTCGCCGACCCACTCGCTCGCTTGCCTGCTTGCTTTTCGGCACAACTCTTTCATGATTGCTTAACGCACCTGTAATTTTGGATATCTGTGTGTGGTCCCATAATAAACGTAATCAACACTTCGTATTCGCCTTCTGATTAATATACCGTTGAGGCGTTATCTAGTGACGGTTATCAAGACGAACTGTATACGAAGTTTAAGGATTATATCGAATACCGACCACCACAAGTTTATATACTGAATACTGTGGAACACTATTTATAGTTATTAATTGGTTGGAGGCATTTTTGTGACGGAACAATTCCTAATTCGTCCTACACAATAATAGCAAACCCTGATTATCTATAATAATTGTCATATCATTCAATGAAACCACACCCTATCAAACATTTAAAAAGTCTTGCATTATTCCCACTATCCACTTCGTCGTGTTGATGTAGTATGATAACTAGGCTTGATCCAAACTTGCCCCAGGTTCTTTATATTGACAATGACTGGCTGGACTCGTAGAGATCTTGGAGAATACAAAACAGGTCAACATCTTAAAAAAAGCCAAACAGAACCAAAGTTATCTCACCAAGAATATAGATGGTCAACAGAATACTTTTCCAAGCATATATGGGAGTTCAAATTATTTAAAACAAAACAAATATATTAGCTTTCTTAGAAAACTCATTAAACAAGGATTTTAAATAAAATTTTACAGAACCTTTTTAATTATGTAAACACCAAAAGGCATAAAGGTAACTAAAAATAGTAATAACAATAATAACTAGTAATAATAATAAATAATACTAACCGTATTATATCTTTTCCCAAAAATTGTACATCTGGTGGCCAGAGAGAGTGCTTAAAACTACCATCATTAACATTTGACCATGGGAAGCCTGCAACTGTTAAGTAGTTAATCAGAGCATCGAACCATACGTAAATCTATTTTTTTGAAAACAGAAGAATTATAGGAAAAAACACTGGAAACTAACAAATTTCAAGCAACCATTTATAATATGTATACATCTCTCCACTAAATGTAAGCTGTTGCTTTAAGATTGATTTTTGTCAACGCCTAGACTAACAATAGGGAGCAAACTAGTTAAGCGCGTTGACAAATTAACTTATCCCAAAACATCTTAATCATGAAGCTTAAAAGTCTTAAGGGTTAGATTTAAATCAGGGTCGAGGTTGTGTACTGTTGGACAGTCCCGTACTAAGATGAAACACCTATCTAGTGCCAACTTAGTATTTAATGGTTCCCCAGTTGATATGAGTCAGTGATGAAATCCAAGTAATCACAGCAGTTTTTACTGACCAGACGGAAATAAATGGAGCAGGGTTCGAACCATCGACCGACTTGTTGAAAAATAACATATCTTAAGCATAGTTGGTAGATAGTGTAGTGACTCACGTTTATCACGAGAACACGACTGGTTTAATAAAAACAATTATTATTATAACCAACTGTACCAGTGTTTGTTTTAACGTGCTTTTGTTTGACTGTGCTAATGACAGCTATTTTCTGCTTCCATTCTTTCGCTTACACTTTGATTGTAACTTCGCGCGAATTCGGTTACCTTCTGTAACCAAGATTGTATCCTGGCACGATCTCGGTATCCTTTCGATGCCACGAGATCGCCAGCTAATAAACCTCGACTTGGTCCATTAACTGTCTTCTGATATTCGGCTTCTCGGGGATTTTATGGAGTCATTTGGAACGAGCTTCTTACGCCTTCTGATTTATCTGGCACGTGTTTCCTGGTAGCGGTGTTCATAGTTAACCTCAACTCGACGCCACGCTACATTGGTGAGCCGTATTTTGGAACACGCCTCAACTTCTGATCAAATCTTCCAAAGAAGCCAATTCGGTGAGTCTATGATTTATCTATCCACGTCTGTCGTATATTTTCATATTTTTAATATATAATATACGCGACATGACGGATAACGATAAGAATAGTATTAATATAATAGACTCACACGTATGTGTACCGAATCCTTGTCACTTTTTATTCGCGTGATGATGAATTCCACGCTTTATTCGAGAAATGTTACCCTATTAACGATTCTCCTCGCTGACCCGGCTGCTTGGTACGGAATGCATACGCATAAGCATCTCCGTCTACCACCCAGCACCAAATGGTTAAGTTGAACGGTTTCACTGCCAACTTAAAAGTGTTCTACGAGCACACGAAAACGGCAACTGGCACGAAACCATACCGCTCGTTCTTTTAGGGGCGAGAACGAGCTTAAAGGCAGATAACCAATGTTCCGCCACTGAACTTGTATACGGCACGACATTGCGTCTGCCCGGAGAATTCTTCACACCACGGAGCAGACCTAATTTCGGTAAATCAGACTACGTCCATCGACTGTCTGCATTTATGCGAACGCTGCCTCCGGTGTCAACTCGAATACAACATCGACAGGTCGCTCTCCCTCGAGAGTTATCTACCTGCTCACATGTTTTTGTACAAGTAGATTCGGTACGCAAACCTTGGCAACAACCTTACGAAGGCCCTTTTCACGTGATCGCTCGTCACGAAAAGACCTTCAAGGTTGATCGATATGGACGCGTCGAGATCGTCAGCATTGGTCGTCTCAAACCAGCACACGTCGATGACAGTGCCCTATCTGACACCCTGAGATTCAATGCTAGACCTATCAAACCTAGCGGGATCCTTAAATCTTCTTCAGGTCCCACGCTAAATGCATTTGAGACCTCATTCTCACGTCCCAGTCAACAGCACGCGTCATCTGCACCGTCTACGGACGAGACGACAGTCTCACGTCCAGATCAGCAGACCACGCCGCCCTTGACTTCGGATGAGATTGCAGGCTCACGCGACGCGAACGAGACTGCCGTCTCACGTTCCGGTCGCCGAGTACGATTACCCGTACGTTTCCGCGAATAGTCGCACAGTCAACAACCGATACGGTGTAGGATTATTCCTATACTACACGTATGCTACACTCCTCTTTTTTTGATTTTCTTTTTGTTTCCTGAGCCCACGCCTTCGACCATCTACGTTGGTTCCGTCGACTTCAGTCAACTTTGGCGAAAGCTGGATTGGCCACCCACGCTCTTGTCAACGTACTCAGTCGATATATTGGTTTCGAATGCTTGGCATATGCTTGGTCTCGAACTTGGTCGTTATGGTCGATTCTGGTCTTTTGGCTCAACGTGGTTTCGTCCTACGTCTGCAGCGTTTCTGGTGCGCACCTCTACGAACGCCCTCTTCAGATTCTGGATACAAACCACTCTGGTGTAGCATGCCAACTCAAGCAATAAATACAACACATCGCTCCTGGTACCGTTCTCCGATAACGACCTTCGTTGGCAACTCGACGATCAACGATCGCTTTCCTGTTCGCCAATTCTTCCGTCCTACAATCGCTCATCAGCCGATCAGTCCCACGATTCAAACCGCTATTTATCGAAAGTGTAAACCCTTTCTAGCGGGGGGCTCCTGTAGTGACTCACGTTTATCACGAGAACACGACTGGTTTAATAAAAACAATTATTATTATAACCAACTGTACCAGTGTTTGTTTTAACGTGCTTTTGTTTGACTGTGCTAATGACAGCTATTTTCTGCTTCCATTCTTTCGCTTACACTTTGATTGTAACTTCGCGCGAATTCGGTTACCTTCTGTAACCAAGATTGTATCCTGGCACGATCTCGGTATCCTTTCGATGCCACGAGATCGCCAGCTAATAAACCTCGACTTGGTCCATTAACTGTCTTCTGATATTCGGCTTCTCGGGGATTTTATGGAGTCATTTGGAACGAGCTTCTTACGCCTTCTGATTTATCTGGCACGTGTTTCCTGGTAGCGGTGTTCATAGTTAACCTCAACTCGACGCCACGCTACAATAGAAAAAACTAAGCCGAAATATGACTTTTAAAATTGATAAATAATCAAGACCACGAGAGAAAAAAGAAAGATAAGTCAATTCCATGGGAGAAAAACACGTTTGTATTCCTGTAAGAACCAAGAGAACTTTGAGATGGAACAAGGAAGAAGTTTTAAAAAGTATGGAACTTGGAAAAAAAACTCGTTTTCGTTTACAGACAGAACTTACAATTTGTTCATTATCACCAGGAACATGTATACCCCAATCTGAACGACTTTTTGATCTTGAAATAGATATATCTTGAGAAGTATCCACCATATTATGTGCTATATCACTCCAAACTGATTGATCAGATGACTTAGGAAATACTATTTCAAAATGATTAAAAATGTATAATAATGAAAAAACCACAGATAATAAAAAATAGAAGTGTATCATATTATTTATGAAAAGAAATTGAAGTGTGAAATATTTTATAATCCTTATAACTCGTGTTACAAACTAGAGTTGATGAAATACAAATTAACCGTTGAAAGGTTCATGTTCGATTCATGCACAACAGTTTCAGCTGACAAACTATGGCAAACTCTCCCTCTTTCTCTGCCTTCATGTAGAGTTTTTACTTGCGAAAGTAAGCAAAAGTTATTGAATTTGAATTGGTAAACATGATTACTTACCCCACCCCAAAAAGGTTGGGAAACCTTGATTCGGTGCAAAATAACAATCAATCCAAATAGGTTACGACTTTTTCAAGTGGAAAAAAAGCACGAGTATATACTGGTCACAAAATGTTGTGGAAAAACTGAGATTTTCAACATCTTTTATTCAGGAACAGAGACAGCTTTAAAACTGTTACAAGACTTATGAGGAAATGACTACTTTGCTTAAATGAAACTAGGCCCCTTACTTTTTTAAACCTAATCAAAAACACTGGAAATCTACGAAGCAATGTGCTATTTTTGAAATCGAATTTTTTCTAATCTCTCTTGTGGTCTACAAAAAGCCAACAGAATAGAACTCGATATGCAGTTTTGGAAGCTCAATGTTCAAACCACTCTGTAGATAGAACAAGTTTTATGCAAGGGAGATAATTAAGTAGATAAGGTTGCGTTTTCGCAATCGACTGAGATAGATTGAGCATGCATAACTCATACCAAGCCATAGTTTGATGTGAGACGTTCACTGGTGTAGTTAAAAGTCTCTAGATGATCAAACATAGATATACAACTAAGTAGGGAACCCACTGACAGTTAGTTGGTATCATGAAAAGAAACAAGAGTTTCTTTGTATAGTAGGAATCAACATGTGGGAATTATGAGCACCACAGCTTAAAATTAACCATAGAAGCCTAAATATACTCATTTGTTAACTATATTGAGTACATTAACTCAAATCTATACACCTTGAGTACTTGTTTATTTTTCTAGATCTTATTATCTCAATTCTTTCGCTATTATCGAATATGACAACTTTAATCACTGAATCTTACGCAATGATATTTTACAGCCAAATCAACTGATTTGTCACCGCTTCGGAACACTCCACATGTAATATAGCCACCATTGCACTTACACACAGTGATACTCAATTAAGCAACGGAAGAACACTGTACCCATAATGTCAACGAAGAAATTATTGTAATAAGATCTTACATAAGAGAACGAGTTGCTTAAAAGTTAACTGAATAAGGTAAGTTTATTACACAATAAAGACATCAAAACTATATTTTTGGAAGTTGTCCTTGTATAATAGAAACAATGATAGAGACACTATTCAACAAAACACTTACCTCCTGAATCTAGCCATTTGTGTAAATCATTTTTAAATGAAGACAGTTTAAACATGTAATTCTCTTCTTCAATCCATTCCACTGGATTACCAGTTTCTTTTGACACAGGTACTCCTGATGAACTGGTTTCATCAATTTCCCATGGCGTATAAAATGCTTCGTCTGAAATACAATACCAACCAGAATATTTGCTTCGATAAATATTACCACTGGCGTTTAAACGCTTCTACAATGAAAGAAAATTTTTGGGGGAAAAATATATATAGAGAGAGAGAAAGGACAATAAGTCTTATGGTATGTCGACTAGCACTCTGAACTCTGGATTTAGCAACCTGAGTTTGAGTCCCATCAAGGACTTGACCGATGGAGCCTTTGAAAAGTTAGCGGTCAAGACGTTCAACTACTGACTGGTAAGTTGCGGTTTTGAGTCCCGCACCAACTATTTTGGCTTGGGCAATCAGGTAGTATCACTAGCCTTCATCCATAAAGTATACAAATCCGTACTTGGTGAGCTATATCAAATATTATACATGAAATATTTATTTAAGAATAAATTTTAAAATAAAATAAAAACTCACCCAAAATTCATGAACAGCTTTAACATGCCTAGTTTCAGTAGTACGGATGAAATCATTGTATTTTACATGAGTAGCATGACAAAGAGTCTAAAAACAAGATATGAGATAAAATTTGACCTACCTATATAAAAAGTTGGGAACAATAACTGTATTTTTGTTTGCTCTGTTTTCAACGAAAGAAAAATATATCATATACAACTTAACTCTCATCCTAACAACTGAATAATTTTTTTTAACTACATACATATACCTATAATTCCTTCTGAATTTTATGTTTTGTAAGAAACTATATAGAATTCATTCGAACAGAGAACAAAACACCTCACTCAATCGAATGACAACTTAAATAAAGGTAGAAAATTGTAGTTAATAACTAAAAAAAACTGACAGAAATATCTATTCAACTTTGCAGTTACACTTGTTAAATAACGCTAGGATAAGGTTTTTGTAGCATATGAAAATGGTACCAAGAAATATACCGTAAGAGTAGGATAAACAAATGAACTAAACATTAAGTGTAACAGTATATATAAATATATTAGATAAAAAAACATAACGAATGAAGACATCGACCTTTTTTAATTCATCACATAAATTCATGTTAAGAAAAAATTAAACGAATTAAAGTGACTCAGAATGTCGCTCCGATATTCATTTCAATGACTGTTCAATGAAGACAAAAAAGTCAACAGAACAGACTGAAACTCGGCTCCATTTTCATCACAGTCACATATACATACGCACATTCAAATATATACTTTATAAGACAATAAAAATTTTAAAATAATAGAAACATGTTTTTAACAATGGAAACAGGTCAATTTGCAAAAAAAACATTTGTACCAATAGCATTTTATCCTTCCTCACAATTCACGGACTAAATATCAAGACAGAGTCCGACTTTCAACTAAAACTCCAATATTTTCGTGACGCAAATACTAAAAAATGTGACATGGTCTGACGTTAAAATACTAAGCGTATATCACATGTGAGGACAGTCAGTCATAAGCAACCTACGACCTGGTGCGTATGCACGTCAGTTCAAGTTGCCATATCCCATTAGCACAATGAGATGAAATTGTCGGAGCAAATCCCAAAATAGTAGAGGTAGTAACATCATTAGTGCTGGTAGAAAACATTAGGCATCGAAAATACGATTTGAGATAAATTAGTGAACTAATAGGATAAATTTATGAGGAATTTAGAAACTTAAGAGGAAAACGATTGTGAGCCATGTCACCCAAAGTCTCTAACCATTGGTCACAATAATCACACTGACCCAAACCAGGTAGATCTACACCTATTAACATGGCTCAGTTCACATACTATCGAAAATTTCGAACTATGTTCGCCAAAATTTTTTGGATTGTGAAATATCTTATCAGGAGGACGAATAGTGCTACAGAGTTCATCAGCACAACCTGTTCATGTTTTTATCATGATTGATCTCGTCTGTCATATGCACAAAAAATACAATCACCAACATTTACAGATACTCACATTTCACAACCAGTTTTCACTGGTAAATACAAGCACAGACATGAATACACATCTTCAAAACGGTTAAAAAATGAATACCTCAAACAAAGGACTCATTCGATCACAATACTGCAATGGATTAAGATTATTGACAGTTGCAGCCCGGCGAACCTGAAAATAAAAAAGAAGTGTACAGAGACACTTCATTCAATATCAACTGGATAGAAATAAGAAAGCTACACAGTTCGCCCATATAAGTAGAGACAAAAAAACACCAGACCGGGAAATAACACTCAAGTTGTTCCGATAATTTAGTCAACTGTTCCATTTAACAATAAAACAACCTAGTACTTCTTGTCTTGTCTTGCTGCTGAAGGATATGGTACGAGAATATATATGTGTAAGGGTTTAGGTTGATCCTGTTCATATCAGTGAAACGTAAGTGTTTACCGACAAACTGACACAAACCACGGGACTCCCCAGAAGTGCGCATTTGCAGCCCTACTGAAAATCAAACCCAGCACTTTTAGGTTTCCATAGAGTGAGGATCCAGACGCGCACTGCTGAAGAATCCTATACTAAAACGAAACTATTATTCAGTGTCTCCTGGTTCTCAATAATTGTGTAAAAATAAGATCAGCTCATGATATAAACCGTAAAAAGACGAAAACTCTTTAGACACTTCATACTAAAGATATAATATAATTGTTAAGTTTCGTTTTCAGTGCTAAATGTTAACATTGTGGTGAGTATAAGTCCAATTTATATCACCTAAAAATTATTAATGTTGTTAAGAGACACGGAGGGATACATATGAATGGTTTGCCTGTATGTTTTAAACGGATATTTACCATTAGGCGTTTTTTTATCTGTATACCGTTTCCATGATAAACTATTTTTGACTGTTATTGTTGCATCTTCAACCGATTACAAATAAACCGGTAGATAAGTTGTGCACTTTTATTATGGAGGTAGATTAATGGTTAAGGTATTCGACTATCAGACAATAAGTTGAAGATTTGAAACCTGCCCCATCTACTTCAGTTTAGGCAACCGGGTATTATCACTAGCCTTTACACTTAAAGTGTAACTCATAACCAAGTACATGAATCTATACCTGGTAACTAGACTAAAAAATAACTCATTTTTATGGTAAAAATACTTTAGCTATTTGCACGTCTTAGTCTTGTATTTTACTTGTATATACAAGTGAGTTACAAGTTATCATAATAAAAGTCACCAGTGGCTACATATCTGGTCTTTTGTTATTTCAACTGCAGAGATGGAAAGGTAGAAAAGCCAGTGTATTCATTATAAGAAATGCGAAAAGAGTTGAAGGGATTATCGTGATAGAGCGTAAAAAGCAAACCAAACAAGTTTAAAAACAAGGATGAAGTGTGAAGTGAATTTCACAGACGACTCACTTTAGATCCATGTTCATCAGTCCCACAAGACAAAAACGTTTTATTGAGATTGCAGTAATCAAACACAGGAGAGTAAGTGAATGTAATATAATCTTGTTGGAAAGGTTTCAGTATTGACTGATTACGCAAACAACTATATCTTGCCCAAGCGTCAGCTAAACATGTGGTATATGCATGACCCAAATGTGGTTCTAATAATTGGAAGAGATATTTAAATTGAGATGAGTGAAAATTCGAGAAAATTTATGTGGGTAGGAGAGAAACTCGAATGAATTACTACCAAACTATCTAGATGATACTTGGAGTACAAATGAAAATGAAACTAATAACTTCCTGTAAAGATCTAGATAACTCGTACAGCTACTCAAGACATATGAACTATCCTCCAAATAATCTTTAAGAAAATAATCTTATTTCACTATACGTTCTAGGCGGATTGTGTCGAATAAGAACCTTAAACTGATGAGGTAAAATAAAAGGCCGTTATTCTATAAATTTACTATCAGACCTGGTTGTAAAAGACAATGAATACTTGGTTGTGAACAGTAAAAATATCACAACAGATGACTGAAAAACTTAAATGACATAGACCAAAGACGATGCTACTTTAATAAAAACAATAACCCTTGATATTATATGAAATTTAGAACTTATTACGTTGATATCCTCTGAATGATGTATTTTTGCTTCGCTTTTTTATTTCTCACAATAGCTTTCTCACGTTATACTCTAACAAGCTTTGATCGAATGAATGGTACACATTATTTTTATGTCTTATTGTACTAGAAAAATGTAATTTAAAACAAGCATAGGCAGCAGATTTGCAGCTTTTCAAACAGAAATAATGCTAGCAGTTAACATCAGTAAAATGTCGACAATATTTCACATTTTTCCAATAAACGACGAGCAGTTTCGAAGATCCTTAACATTTAATCATCCCAGTCAAGAGAAAACATAAAACACCTTTTTCGACTTATATGCAAACCGTATTGTGGCCGTTCATTAAAAATGCATCTTCGAAGTGTGTATGGCCATCTATAGTTTACACTTAATGCTATTTCTAAGTGGCAAACTCCTATGGTACCGAAGATCTGTCAGGAAATTTGGAAGTAAATGCTCAAACCATCTCATCAACCGATAGACATGGGTATAAAGGACCAGGCACTAATGTCAAATTTAACATTAATTGATATGGTGACAGCTGAGGCTGATGAAAGACATAGAAACCCTACCGACCGAAGCTGCTACCTTGACGCGGTGGTCGGGCTTGCCTATCGTGATGACCCAACCGAGCTATATTGGCTGGAACATATGTTCCTGTAGGTTCTACCATGCCAGGCAGGTCGATTGGTGAACGGTAAGACTAAAAGCAGCAACTCAAGGTCTGAGGGCGAAGTCGTACTGCTGACTGTAGAGAGGTGTGACAGCAGTAAGGTGTTTCCCTCGGACAACCAGCATGACAGCGATGCTGCCTTCCCACAAGGAGGGGTGGGGTTAGAAAAGGTCGACCCTAAAAATGTCACACCTCACCTTACCTCACGGATCTCCGTCTCCGGCGGTAAGGCCCTTTGAAAAACGGAGCTAACACGTCAAAAAAACCCCACGAAAAGGCCGTGCGCGACCGGCCTCAAGCAGTTGTCCCTTAGGCTCTGCGGTCACGCTCCCAGGTCGTTAAGACCAACACTAATCCAATTTCCTTTTCAGGTTTCTCAAGAAATACCTTTCCACGGTGTGGGCAGCCGGGAAGTGACATCAGCCCTCATACCCGTAACAGCACACGAGACCAAGTTGATCACATTCAAATCCTTCCTACACCTCCTAATACCTCTCTTATCTCCATGACTAACCCTCCTCATGTCTCTTTATCACCTCGCACCGCTAGAGCAAACGATTCGAGTACGTGGAACGCTATTCCTGGTCTCCTGAAACCACGCTCTAAACTACACGTAGGAGCTTTTGACGTATGAACACTTTGCCAAATAGGACAGCAGGCTTCCTTAGCTAGGATTTTAGAATCTCGCGCCATCGATGTGTGCTGCGTCTCCGAAACGCGCATACAGGATCCAAGTAGCGTCATTCATTTGACCTCACCATGCCAAAATAAAGAACCGACTCGATTTACGCTTCGTGTATCTGGAAGCCCTGATTCTGCTTCCCGTGGCCTCGCCGGCGTAGGTATAGCATTGAGCCCTAGGGTAGAACTAGCTCTCTTAGAGTGGATCCCAGTAGACAGTCGTTTGTGCGCTGTCAGACTGAATGGAACAATGAGGATCCGAAAAGATAGGGACTCTCGTCGTTGCCTCTTCGTCGTCTCTGCCTATTCTCCCACTGACTGCAGCTCAGATGATGTAAAAGATGAGTTTTACAGAAAGCTTTCGGACCTTTTCCGAAAAGCTAAGCGCTCGGATGTAGTAATAGTGGCCGGTGACTTTAATGCTCAAGTAGGTAAACTAAGCGATAGGGAAAGACACCTAGGTGGATCTTATGGTGTCGTGGCTCAAAGAACAGATAATGGCGACCGTCTGTTGCAGCTATGCTCAGATAACCGCCTGTTCCTTGCAAATACTAACTTTAAGCATAAGGAAAAACATCTTTTAACATGGCGACCCCCTAATTCGTCCCAACGTTGGACCCAAATAGATCACATCGCTATCAGCCACCGATGGAGGGGCTCGATAGAAGACTGTCGCTCATTCTGGAGCACATGCCTAGATTCAGATCATGCTCTAGTGCGAGCGCGTATTTGCTTGCGTCTTACTGGACGTAGGAAAGACGCTGCAAGGAAACCTCTTAGGGCCCTACTTAATGATAGTCAAGCTAAGAGTATATTTCAGGAACAACTAGGAAAACAGTTAGGCAGCCATGTATGTGATGTCCACCCCGATGCAGCATGGAATGATATCCGAAAAGCTGTGGAAACAGCAGTGATATCTGCTAGTAAGGTAAACCACAAGGTTAGGGAGCAACACTGGATCTCAGCAGCATCTATCGCACTGATAGATGCTCGGAAACTCATTCCACCTGGCTCTGAACATAATGAAGATCGGAGTCAGCTTAAGCGCAAGCTGACAAAAAGTCTACGCAATGATCGCGAACAGTGGTGGGTAGAGAAAGCAAGAGAGATGGAAAAGGCAGCGGCAATTGGTAATAGCAGACAACTGTTAAGACTCGTTAAATAAACCGGGATTAGGAACCCGACTGTTAGCGAAACAATCTCAGAGAAAGATGGACATATTATTCATTCTCAATCCAGGAGATTGGATCGATGGGCAGAACACTTTAGGGGTCAGTTCAACTGGCCTTCAGCCACACTTCGGTTTCCCACGATCTCTAGTCAACCTGAATGGCAAATTAATGTAGGTTCTCCGTCCCTTTACGAAGTTGGAAAAGCCATAGGAAATCTGAAACGAGGGAGAGCAGCAGGCCCTGACAGGTTTACTCCTGAGATTTTTAAGGATGGTGGTCCAGTATTAGCAATGAGATTAACCGAGGTCTTAGGTAGAATTTGGGAACTGGACGTAATCCCATCTGACTGGTCTTAATCACTGATTGTGCCAATCTATAAGAAAGGACATAAGTCCTCCTGTGACAATCACAGAGGAATCAGTTTGACTAATATAGTGTCTAAAATACTAGCCTCAATAATACTTCGACGCCTAATCAAAGCTCGTGAAGAGCAGATTAGAGAAAACCAGGCCGGTTTTCGACCTGGACGTGGTTGTATAGATCAGATATTCACACTACGTCAGGTTCTAGAACACAGACACACATTCAGACGCCCCACAATGGTAGTATTTCTCGACCTTAAGGCGGCATTCGACTCTGTTGATCGTGAGGTTCTATGGCAGTGTTTGTCACTGAAAAGAGTACCAAAGAAGTACATTAACCTTATAAAGGCTCTCTACTCGAACACAACTGGTAGAGTGAGAGCTTATGGCGAACTGTCATCAGAATTGATCACCTCAAGTGGTGTTCGTCAGGGCTGTCCACTCTCCCCATTCTTGTTCAACTTTGTCATTGACGTACTTTTAGAGATAACACTCTCCTCATCTAAATTTACAGGGGTTGAACTTCTACCAGGAGGTTCACTTGTTGACTTAGAATATGCAGATGACATAGTTTTATTTGGTGAAGACGCTGACAAAATGCAGAGTCTTCTGACCACTCTAAGCAACAATGCAAGCATGTTCGGGATGCGATTCTCTCCCTCGAAATGCAAAATGTTGCTTCAGGATTGGGTTACATCGACACCCGAACTAGTGATAGGGAGTGAAGTAGTTGAGTGTGTCGACCGCTTCACTTATCTTGGAAGTCTCATCAGCCCTTGTGGTCTGGTTTGTGACGAAATCTCAGCACGGATACAGAAGGCTTGACTAGCTTTTGCCAACTTGCGTCATTTATGGCGTAGGCGAGATATCCGTCTATCAACCAAAGGACGGGTTTACTGTGCAGCAGTTCGTTCCGTCCTTCTTTATGGCAGTGAAACATGGCCGGTGAGAGTAGAGGATATTCGTAGGCTACTAGTATTCGATCATAGGTGTCTTCGAAACATTGCTCGTATATCCTGGGACCATCGAGTAAGTAACACAGTTGTTAGGAAACGGGTACTAGGTAAGGATAGCAAATCAATTGATGAAGTAGTGAAACTTCATCAGTTGAGGTGGCTGGGACACGTGTTACGTATGTCCAACGACCGACTGCCTCGACGTGCTATGTTCAGTGGTATAGGAGTAGGTTGGAAGAAAGCTAGGGGCGGCCAAACCAAAACATGGCACAAGTCCATGAAGTCACTGACAAGTGGACTGAGTCATGTTGGTAGGTGCAGACTACCTGGTTGGGGACCGCGAGATGATAGCAACCGATGGTTAGAGACCCTGAATGACATGGCTCAAAATCGTTTGCAATGGCGCAGGTGCATCCACTCTTTGTGTTCTCCCAAATTTTAATCTCCTGAATCCTCCTTGTCTCTTTTTTTTCTTCCCAAATATATTTCACTGGATTATACTCCTTGAATAACATCTCCAAACCCTAATCTTCCCGATTACTGCTTATACTCTTATTACCTCTACCACTACGGGATTTGAATCGACAACTGCATCTCTGTGCTTATGTGGTGTGGCAACTCGAACTGATGTACGTACGTACGAAGTTCTACGTTGTTACTGACTGACTGACTGAGAAACCCTACCGAGAACGAAACTACACCATTACAACCAACCAATTACACTTGGTGTAAATTGAAAATAAGTATTCATTTACGATTATATTATTTTTGTTATGACCATTCATCAATCGCTGTGAAAAGATAAAGAGAAAAGCTGTTATTTCACAATAATTTCGTTATGATTAGTGGAATAAAGCATTAGAAAATAACTTTTGCATAACAGAGCGTTATGATATCTATAGTTCAATCACTCATAGAACCCAATTAAGCACTACCCACAGTAGAGAAGCCTAACTATTCACTACTAGACAGTATTTCCAAACAGAAACACTAGTTATGCTGTGAAGACGTCTAGTAGTTTTTATCACTCTTATCAACAATAATGCACGTAATAGGTGTTTTAAACTATGACGTTAAAGATAAAGTGAACACTTCCAGTACATCTCCGTACCACATGCATTTTGCATATATATATATATATATATATATATATATATATATATATATATATATATATATATATATATATATATATATATATGAATTAAACACACTTTAATTTGCAATACATATATATCGCCTTCAAATCAACACAAATAACATTTAACTGTTTCAAAGCTCATTTGAAACAGACTGATAACAAAATAACATTTAGTCATATATCTATCCAAGAATAAGGAATCTGCCTCTTAAGGTTTAATTATATATAGGTGGAGTCAATCCATCTAGTCATAAGAACTGGCTAGAATGGTTACTAAAAGTCCATAATCTATCTGATAACTTACTTGCATTGACGTAAAATATTGGACATGTAATAAAAAAAGGCTTCTCAGAACGAGTAGATGCAGAACATCGGGAATGATTACCAGCAGCCGTTTGGAGTAAAGGTCGAGAAAACTAATCCCAAAAACAATAAAGTAAACTGGTCCTTACAAAGAATAAAAACGATGTTAGTATTTAATTTTTATTTGTAGAAATGACAGTACAAAACAAGTGTTTCACACAAGTGTACACGCGAGAGCATAAGAAAAACAGCATATTTAACAAACGCATATACAGTTATCACCATAATATCCTAATACTATATGGATGACACTCACAAAACACATTCAGCTTGCTTGAAACCATCTACTCGAATAATTATTCATCACACAAACTATTCAGAACCTGAAAAATTGAATAGAAACACCACGAAGTTAACTCATTGACCAACTAAATATTACATTAGATAAAAGTGACTCAGAATGTCGCTCCGATATTCATTTCAATGACTGTTCAATGAAGACAAAAAAGTCAGCAGAACAGACTGAAACTCGGCTCCATTTTCATCACAGTCACATACACTCATACAGAAACTAAAGTAGTAGGGATCAGTTTCTGACAACTGAAATGGGTTAGATACAAGTAGTGTCTTTTAACACATCACTACCCAATAGTAACGTACTTCTGGTTTATCTCTACTTAATTTGCACTTCCCTACTATATAATGTGTGAAAGTTAACTATGAGTATTATGAAATACATAAACTAACTTTCCGCATAAGTTCAACGGCTTCCCCTCATGATGTCAAGTCTCGTTTCAGAACACTTTTGATTGCAGTCCTAATGTCAACTGACGTTACTGTTGGCAAACTTATAGATGCGGATGATTGTGTCATTGGTCTATGGAAAATAGTAAACATTTCCTTATCACGTTTCCTCAAGATGACATATATAGTTGTTGACTATATTGTTGGTTCTAACCAACAATGAGAACCATTAATACCCCAAGCTCCCTGTTTTGGGGAAAATTTTGTTCGTTTTTGGTAAGCCGCTATAAAAAATTCTGGAGGAGTGGCACAAAATTCTGGGGATTTCCCAACATTCCCCTGAAATGGGGAGATTCCCAAGCTCCCAAGTTTGGTGAAATTTCGGGCAATTTTGGAGAAATCCTCAAAGTGAAGTAGTCTTCCCCAGGTTTGGGAAAATTTTGGGGTTTTTGTCCCATTTCCCCAAAATGTCCCAAATTTTCCCCCGAAATTGGGAGCTCGGGGACGAGCAATGTTTCGTGTACCAAAAAGCAACTTTAAGAACTTAATATGAACAAAAGTGATATTCCAACCAGATACAGCACTTCGGATATAAATACTAATTAACACCATAGATATTTTACAGTAGTCTAAAAAGTTCATAAAGTAACGTGTTACAGCAGCATGTTAACAACGCTTCAAGGGTATCGTCCATTGTCGGAAGTTGCGAGCACTTGAAGGTCAAACTGTTGTAAGTTGATTGGTGCGTCACATCGACAATCCTTGGAGTTTTGCAGAAGCGGTGAAATCAAGACATTTCTGGATTTGAATTCAGTTCAGCCACACTATCTGATAACGTCCATCCATTTGAACCATTTGAAGTAACGAAGAATGTTCTAAATTCCCCTCATTCGTTCTTACGACGTTGAATAGCTTAGGTCATGGCGACCATTCCGTATCTGAGGTTGCAATTAAACCCCAGCATGCAACGATGTTCAGAGTAACTCAGTCTTGCGTGGTGAATAAAAGATACAGTCGTCGCAAAATTCACAGCATCATATAGTTTTTTAATAAACATTACATCACAATATGACAACTTAATTGACTCCATGAATGTAAATTAGACCATTGTTATGGTTTGCGATACACTCAGTTGACGTGACAACGCTGAGTATTGTTCCAACCCCTATTTGACCTGCCATCGGCTCAGACTCGAAGTTACGTCACATTGACGCATCCGCCAGGATCTCAGCTGCAACCGAATCAGCTGTATTTCCGTATAAGTGAGGTCCAAAATCATTTCTCAGTATTCTGCACATCAAAATTAGATCTCCCCCTTAGTCTGCGATAGGACAGTGTAAAGAGGTCCAGTTTTCCAAGCCGCTCTTTGTATGATAAACCCCGGAGTTCCGGCATCGCACGAGTAGCTGCCCTCTGTACTTTTACTAGTATGTCCGAGTCACCTTATAAGCAGGGGCTAGCAGCCTGAACGAAGTTCTCTAGCTTAGTTCTCACAAAAGATGGTTCAAATGGTTCAAATGGTTGTGGACGGAATAGAAGAAGCTTTCGCTTAACAGGCTTCCGTGTCTAGTAGCAGGGGATCACCAAATCCTCCAGGCAGGAACCTAGGTATGTTAACAATAAAAAAGGAAAAGAAATTGGTAAATCATAATGTGATGCTGTCCTTGGTCCTTAAGAATAGGTCAAGTTGCCTCTTGAAGGACTCCTGAGAAGTCGCTTGGACTAGCTCGGCCGGCAGCGAATTCCAGCTTTTGACAACTCTTAAGGAGTAGAAGTTGTGTCTACATTCCGTCTTGCTATGTTGTGTTTCCAGTTTCTGGGTGTTACCCCTTAGGTTATTATTCGAACTAAGCTTAAGTAGGTGTTTAAGAGGATGTCCAGAAGTGTTAAGAATACTATAAGCCATTAGTAAATCACCTCTAAGACGCCTATATTCTAGTGGGTAAAGATCTAGTGAACGGAGGCGTTCTTCGTAAGGCTTAGATTTGAGTCCTCGAACTGATTTCGTGGCTCGCCGTTGGATACGCTCCAAAGTGACCTTGTCCTTATGGAGTGAGGGGGGAGTACTATGTTTCCGTACTCTAAATGGGGACGGATGAAACTATTGAAGATTGTATGGAACGTTCGTCCGTCAAACTGTCCAAAAATGCGCTTCAACGTTACCAGTGCAAGGTTTGCTCGGGAGGCATTTTTGTCACAGTTAGCGTAAGACTTTAAGTCATGGGGCACCAGGACTCCTAAATCTTTTTCGACTTGGGATAATACTAGAGAGGAGTTTCCTAAGTTGTAACTGTAGTTTGCGACATGTCGCAGATGGACTACTTTACACTTTGAAGTGTTAAAGGTAAGTCCGTTATCGTCTGCCCAACTTTGAAGTCGCGTCAGATCCTCCTGAAGTGCCTGTGTATCGTCTTGGTTGCGTATCTCTCTCCAAAGTTTCACGTCGTCGGCAAAAAGTAATAAGTCTGACGTTACCTGTTGAGGAAGATCATTTATGTAGATCAAGAAGAGAAGAGGCCCTAGTACTGAGCCCTGGGGGACCCCACTAGGACATTCCATAGCCTGAGATAAAGTGAAATTAACCCTAACCTTAAAGTGTCGATTTTTTAGGTATGAAGTAAGCCAATCGATTAGAGGTGGTTTGATACCTAGTCGTTTGAGCTTGTTGATAAGACACAAGTGGTTAACCTTATCAAAAGCTTTTGAGAAATCAAGGTAAATGACGTCAACCTTTCCCTTGCAATCGAGGATGCTTGTCCATCTGTCCACCGCAGTCAGCAGGTTGGTTATACAAGAGTAACCCTTCCTGAAACCATGCTGTTGGGGTGAGAAGAAATTTAAGGACAGTAGATAGTCATTTAAACCGTCGCATATCAGGGACTCTATGAGTTTTGAAGGTAATGACAGAAGAGCCATCGGCCGATAACTTGAAGGTTCATTGCGTCGACCACCTTTGAAAATTGGTGTGATGTGAGCCAACTTCCAGTTTTCCGGTAATTTGCCTCGGCTAAGCGAGTGTGAAAACATCACGCTAAGCGGCGTTGCCAGGATTGAGGCTGCCTCCCTCAGTATGGCAGGATGAACCATATCCGGGCCAGGAGAAGTGTCAAGTCTTAAGTGCTGCAATTTCCGGAACACCAAGTCAGCGCTTAGGTCCACTTCAGAAAGTCCTGTGGAGTTGGAGATGAAACTATCGTCAATAAAGTTGATGTCAGCCGGTTGAAATGTTTGAGAGTAATGGGCCGCCAGAAGGTTAGCGGCGTCGCCATCGTTGTTGGTCGGGCCGTTAAGACCTAGCAGTTGAGAAACTCCTGTTTTGGCTTGACGAAGTGAGGCTGCATAACGGAATAGGCTTCTAGGGTTAGAGGCGAATTTGTCCATAAGCTTTGTTTGGTACTGAAGCCTGTCTTCTCTTATAGCCTTCGTGCATGTGTTCCTGATATGTTTGTATTGCCTATACGCTCCATCGTTATTAGTTCGTTTGTATTCCGCCCAACAGTGCCGTTTGCGGCTTAGGAGGCGAAGGGTACGGTTCTTGATTACTGTAGGTGGCTTGAAGCTTTTGGGAACCGTTTGAGGAACTGAATGGTCTGTAGCACATAAGAGCGTGTGCAGTAAGAAGTCCCAATGACCATCCACATCGATTTGAGGGTGAACATCCCAAACCACCTGTTGTAGATAGTCATGAAGAGCTGGCACATTCAGCCGTTTAAAATTCCAACGCAAATTATTGTTGGGATACATTAGCTTAGTTTTGATGACAAAACTGAAGGCTCAGACGGCATGATCGCTTTTTCTCAGAGGACCCAGGATTGAGAAGTTGTCGACTAGGAATTCTTCGTTAGTGAATATGTAGTGGCATTGGACAATAGCCACACAATCCACAAAGCTGTGAACACGAGACTACTCAGAAAATAGATATTCAATATTTAACGCCGAGAAATACCTAACAATGGAGAAGGCGCGAACAAGGAATTGAATGGACTGGAGTTGATCGAGTGGCATGGCTCGGCCATGCAGGCATGGTCTCTGCTGAATGTTACCTTATATCTTCTATTCATATTAAATATATTGTTCCTTCTCTAGCCTAACCTTGTTCTACATCATGTATTGGTAATTGATACGATACAGTGAGTTGGTTTAGTCGATGGTGTGACTTCCACGTAAGGTCTTACAGATTAGGCAGTTATATCATGACAAATCTACAAATTTAGGATCAGGTCTATTATTAGAGCAGTACTAATATCATAGTAGACCATAGTTCTACATTGGTGAGCCCAACTAAAGAAACGCAACCTAATATTATTAATCCTTATTTCCACTTCAACTTTCTCGATCGATTTTATATTTATGTTAACCCTGTATTCTAATAGTCCTCTGATTAATGCTCACATGCATTATCGTAATGTTATATTGATTAGTCCTCATGACAAACTAGCTCAATCGATAATAAAAACTGGTCGTCTATATTAACTAATTAGCTTTGATGGTTTGTTAACAAGCTGTAATAGCATTCACATGCTTCAGCGACATAGTCTTGTTTAAACATCAAGCTCTAGCAAATATGACCTGTAAATAGCGTAAATATACATTGACTAACAATGCGATCAAGGACTAAATAGTTATCTGGATCTAATTCTCACTGTTCCTTCACTTAACACCTCATCCTGTTTTAACCGATGCACTATCCTGTAATATCTTTTCTTCCGACCACTGCCTGCCTAATTTCATATTCTCGAGTTCCATTGCCAAACAACGAGGATGACTACTCCAAAAACATACGGTGAGTTTCAGCTATAAGTTTTCTGCAATCATACGGTCATTTTTAGATGGTTCGTTCAATGACAACCACACAATTATCTGGATTCTTTCGATTGTTCTGATCCGAGCGTGTGGCAAAAACCTTAACAGCATCAAGCACCTTGGAATTAATTGCCATACTGCATGTTTTATTCTGGATACTTTTGGATCATTACTTCTCCTCACGAATGGCGTTATATATGTCGTCCACTGAATAATCCAATTTTCAAAAATAACCCAGGCGAGTTCAACTATTTTACTTCATGATTTCTTTACTTAACATGTATATGTTTTCCGGTTCCTCTTGCTATATATTTGTAAGTGTCCCTAGGCTAAATGCAGTAACTCCTTATGGAATGTTTATAACGCATCATATTCCTGCCTGAAGTTTCACAAGCAGTCTAAACTTTAAAACTATTTTCTGGTCATGTTCATTATTTTTAAATCGTCATATACGTCAACAACCTGCATGTTAACCTGGCCCATACATACGTTACACTATATCTCCATGTCTTCTAAATTTAGAAATCATCTGAATCGCCTTTAACATTTATCAATAAACCCATCATAGTCGTTGTTGCTAATCGTATTTGGGTTTATGGATTGGTTTATCATATTAGCAGCCTAAAATGCGAACATAGTTTAGATAATAAGATTAAACATTTAGGGACTATCAACTGCACTAGTCAAATAACTAAATCCACAGGTAGCTGTTGGCTAAACAAACGTTTAAAATCAAAACTCCGTAGCCTACTAAAATTAACACTAAACGAATATTTCTGAATTGAAATTTATAATTAAATTAGGCGTCTCGGATTCTTTAACGTTATAAGTTTCTGATG